TTTTTTTTTTAAGGCTTCACTAAGGGTTGATAATGTACCATTGTATGGGGCAATTTTAAGTCACCTGAGGCATTGTCATTATGCATGAACATTTCTCAGACTTTCACAAGCTGTTGAGGTCATAGGCAATTGATACAGCAGTTGTGATTTTTTAAAAAAAAAATTTTTTTCCACCTGTCTCCTTTATTTCATAACATAGTTACTGACACAATAGGAAGTTCTCAGCATAGGGGAAGGTAACTAAATCTTAGATTGTAGACATGGGCTCAAAGTGGCTGAAACAAATTGGCTGACACCTTAAACTGATAACTTGCCATTCTTCTGGTGTACCTTTCAGGATTGTTCCACTAAAGTTTATTTTTCAAAAAATTTAACTTCATATTACTGTATGTAAGTGATCACTTGTCAGTGTTCCAGATGTATCTTAGCTAAAATTAGTGAATGCCCTTAACTTAGATGGTTTTTGAAGCCTATACATTTGGTTTTGTTTGGCCCTTAAGCTTTTACATCTCTTAGCATGGAGGACAAAGAAAGCTGTACATTGTTGCTTGGAAGTCTGTACATTTAGACCAGATTTGTATTTGCACTGTTAGTATGGCATATGAATGAAAAGGTGTTAATACACTATCAGATTTTTTATTTGTTTTTAATTCAGCTTTTACCCTAGCTGAAAAACCTCAATTTATGTTCATGACAGTGGAGATTTTTTTAAATGTCTACATTCTTTCTAATAAACTGTTGGAAGACTTTTTGACTGTCCTTTTAAGTGTCTGCTTTACTGTGACTTCATGTAGCTACCATTTACTGGAATGGAGTTTTTATTTTATTATTTTTTTTTTTTTTTAATTTTTGAAGAATTTGGGGCTATTCCTCTGTTTGAAAAAGGCTTGCTGTAATATCACAGGAAACCTTTTAAAAGTGGATCTGTAATAGAAAATTGTAGATGCACTTTGCAGCAGCTGGAAAAGAAAAAATGTTGTGATTTGATTGAAATAAAACCAAATGTGTTGTCCTCCTCTTAATCTTTGAGCTTATGCATTTTGACAGTTTTTGTTCCCTCACAGTTTGTGTATTCATCATAGCAGTGTTTTGTATTTCAGCACTTCATTATATAACAGATATTCAGGACTTCAGTTGCAGATGATGGTAAGTAACAGGAATACAGAGATTAGTCCAGGAAATCCCAGCACTCGGGAGGCTGAGGCAGGAGGATCGCTATGAGTTCGAGACCAGCCTGAGCTCTACCTAGTGAGTTCCAGGTCAATCTTGACTACATAGTGAGACTCTGTCTCAAAAAACAAAAAACAAACAAACAAACAAACAAAATTTGTAGTGTTAAGTAAGGAAACACAACTTGGTGGGTCCTTAAGAGTCATAACTTTTTACTTTTTAAATTCTTTGTGCTAGGAATCAAACTCAGGACCTCACGCATGTCTGGCTGGCACCACACCATTGACTTGTCCTCCAGCCCCTTTAAATATTTTATTTATTTTCTTTAAATATTTTAAATTTGTTAAAGGATTTCATCAGCCTTTTTTTAAAATTTAAGTTTATTAGTACATTTTAGGTATACAATATGACTACATTCATCATTGGGAATTTGTAGCTTTACATGATATATCTTGGTTATTTTGTCATCCTTTATTAAGCCTCACACAATGCTGTGATTATAGGCATATACCAATATCATGTTCATTATTATTTTAGACAAGCTCTCACAGTGTAGCCTAGGCTGGCCTCCAACTCATGGTGATCCTCCTCCAGCCTCAAGTGCTGAAATTCCAGGTGTTTACCATGCCTAGCTTAGTGTTTCTTTTTAGTAGAAATTGTTTTGCTGGACATGGTACAGACCAATAATAGCACTTGGGAGACTGAGAAGTTAGTCTCAAGTTACCCCCGACTCAAAAAAATTTTTTTTGACAAGCAACTTATATGGTAAGATTAAAAGTATATAATAAAGCTGGGTGTAGTGACAGGCCCCCTACATTCTGGAGGCTGAGGCAAAAGGATCACAAGTTGTACCTCAGCAAGACTGTCTCAGCTGATGTTTTTCTTTCTCTTTTCTCCCTCCCTCTCTTTGGCAGGGTCACATTAAGTAGTTCAAAATGGCCTTGAAATTACTATGTAACTTACGCTGGCTTTGAACTCCATAGTCCTGCCTCATCCTCTCAAGCACTGGGATTATAAGGGAGCCCCCCCACCATGCCTGGCTAAATATGAAAATTTTTGAAACAAAGGCATAGGGATACAGCTCAGTAAAATGGCCCCTGTGTTCAATACCCAGTTTCTAGAAAAAAAAAAGACATGTACCAAGAATGAAAATGCACAGTTGGAGATTGTATCTTTTGAAAGTTTTAGTTGTGGCTTTCCAGTTAGATAAAGCAACAGCTATCTAGATGAAAGTTAGCAACCTGTGCAAAAAACATTTTCAGACCTGTGGACTCATTGAAAATACATTTGATTATTGCATGTTGTTGAACATCTAACCATTAGTACAGGGCATTGAATCACTTCTAAATCGTTGGTGCTTAACCCAGTACTTAGGTGATTCAAAGTGTTGGGTCCATTTCAGAAATAAAGCATGGGTAATGGGTTGGAGGCAAGGAAACTAGTTACAGCAATAATTTGGACAAATGATAAGATGCCTTTTTTTTTTTTTTTTTTTTTTTTTTTTTTTTTTTTTTTT